GGCAAAACCTAATTGTGCCGATGACAAAAGTGCGAAGTTATTGATCTGTTGTGGGTCCTTACCTAAAACTATTATGTGAATCTTTTCAGAACTATGCCTACATGGCTGACATAAACATCTGTAGGTCTGCATTTAGCCCCTTTCAAACGACGGTAGCATCATCTACATTCTAACCTTACACACAGTATCAGTATTGCTTTCAGGTGAAGCTCAAGATGGAATATCGCTGGCGCGTGTGTTGTGGCAGATTCACAGACGTTCCCGTGGACTGTCCAGGCTTTCCTGTTGTTTAATACTCTGCCTCAGTAGAACACCAGGCTGCATCCGGAACGACTTACTGTCTTCTGAGATCTAACACAACTGTCACTTACAGCACCAGAACCAGACATCGCTCCAATGTCCATTTCTCCGGAACAGCTTAAACTACGAAATTATACAGAATTAGGGACTATACTTATTCAAGGTTCATAAGCAAAGCACATGCAATATACCAGTAAGGAATAAACTCTTATGCTACGCCTTTATACATGAACTTACAAAGAGAATCTAAACATTTCAGGCATGTCTTCCTCGAACTTCAAAGCATATAGTTCCTTGTTAGGATATCTCCTCTCAGAATGGTTCTTGTCATCCATCTTCTGTCCTCGGGCTGATATTGAATCATTCGAATGGAATTGACTTCTAGAAGCTTCACCAACAAAGCATATCCCTGTCAATGACAAACACATATGCACAATCATCACGGACACGGAGGTTATGACGTTGATGCTATAAATATAAACTTAGTTGTGTAATCCAATGTTCCCAATAATAATATTAGATAGACGGTTATTCTGAACACAAAAATAGTCACTGTTTTCTGGTTTAGACGTATTTAGCGGCAGCTGGCATATAGCTGAGGGAGCATACGCTGAGTATTGAGCAACAAGCAAAACATAGGGAGCAGAATAGGTTACCACAAGTTCCTTGTACATACACTTAACACATACAGCCAGCTGTCTGGTATAATCATTTAGACTGCAGTATCTCATTTTGTTTATATCAGTAATATTTACCTTGCTGACATTTGGAGAAGATGATAGGTCCATTTCCACACATGCCTTCTTCGTTCGTTTCCATGGTAAGATTTCTTCATCCGTGATTTTCGTTTGGCTAACCAGATTATCAGCTTTGTCAAAATCGAAAAACGTCAAAAAAAGGGTAGGTTTGTTCCCGTGGATCTTCAGATCTTCCAAACGTAGCATGTTGTTTGCTCTCTTGTCAGGATTTGTGACACTTTGAGCTCTAATCGTGATGAGTTTTGGCAGCTATGAAGAAACCATGCAAAGGCAAAAATGAAAGTCCAGTATTTCACTTGATATACCAGTGCATACACAGATGGAAAAATACATCGTCTTAGATAATATTTTACTTTATCAACAAATCCTACAGTTAAAACAGCAAGTAACTGGCATAATTATCTCAAAGAATCGATCATTAATGTACAAACCACCTACCCCAAATGAAAACGGGGCCTTTATCAAGATGAACTCCATAAGAAATCTAAGCTGTTCTTTCGGAGACATGTGGTGTGACAGACTCACTGGAGACGAGAGGCACATGCTACCAACGTACGTCTCTTTTGTTTCTTTACCGGTTTCCGAGAGAGGAAAGTTCGGGAGATCAGCAACAGCGCTTCAAAATCCCGCCACCAGGTTAAATCACCAATGCTTTGGGGGATAATCGAGTCCGACTTTCCTCGGGCACTGACGTTGTACATTTACAGCACATGTGAACATAGTTAAGTATGGGTATACGAACGTCTAAAACAGTTCCATACATACGCTCTTCTTGCATATAGTAACATTTTAACACGGTGTGGCATGGCATAATCCACACAGCATGACAAATTAAATCCAATATGGACACTCCAGGCTCCTCTGCACGATGTAGTAGTAGTAAGGCAACTGACAAACAATGTGATAAATATATAAGTATCATTTTGTTGGTTATTTTGGTTTTCGGTACATTTGAGTGAGTGAGTGAGTGAGTGAGTTTAGTTTTACGCCGAATTCAGCAACATTCCAGCTATATGGCGGCGGTCTGTAAATAATCGAGTCTGGACCAGACAATCCAGTGATCAACAGCATGAGCATCGATCTGCGCAATTGGGAACCGATGGCATGTGTCAACCAAGTCAGCAAGCCTGACCACCCAATCCCGTTAGTCGCCTTTTTACGACAAGCATAGTGGCCTTTTATGACAAGAATGGGTTGCTGAAGACCTATTCTACCCCGGATCTTCACAGGTCGGTACATTTGAAGGTTGCAGTGGTCCGTTAATATGATTTTTGCCACTTATTTTTCCTTTAAGCCCAAATGAATCTGTTTATTGACGTTACGTCTTTTGGACATCTGGTATTTCGTGGAAAAACACTTTGGCTTTTTGTAGGTGTTAAGAAAACAGCTGTATCCCTCTCAAGAGTTATATCGGTATAAAAGCTTGAACACTGCTATTTCCCCCGTTTATTAAGGACAAATACAATACAAATTTACCTCACTCTGTAATTTGAAAAGTTAAGATGAACGTCTTCAGTCTAAAGCAGTTCAAAGGGCTGTGGAGGAAAACAGTGGAAAGTCCACACACATTGCAAGTTCAATCATTTTCGTTTTACTAATGGATAGACTCAAAACAAAAACTCACCCATTGTGACTGTTCTGTAGTTCTATAACATATGGATCTCCATCTACACAATCCATGCTGAATATTCCCTTCTTCAGACGTTCTGGGTCGGTTTGGATGGTCACAAAATAATGATCTGTATACTCAATCAGGGTCTGTAAGCAATGTAGTGTTCATCTTGGTATATGTAGCGACAGTGCTGACACACCGCGAGTAAACCACTTTGCTTGTCGTTGAAAATCAGAGAAAGGTTTTGAGCTTTTAAACATTTGTAATAGGCTTCTTTCTTTGTGAAATATTATGTTTGGTATATGGAACATATTATCTAATTCTTGCAGGATTGTTAAAATAGCTAGTTTTTGCAAAGGATGATACTATACATCAATGTATATACTACCGCTGTCGTATTAGCAACCGCTATTGTATTGGGTGTTGTGAGTTACGGCCCCTTAGTGGGTTGACGTGTATTCAACGCAGTGACAAAATACTTATCATTCCAGACAACCTACGTGTCATTTCGGC